GTACTCTATTGATTTTAACTTTTATTATACACGAATTTCCACAATAAACCTTTGTAACTTATTATTTAAGTATGTAATTCTTAAATATGGAAGTAAGATAAAGGATTAATATATGTAGCATGGTCCTAAAATTCTATTTAAATTAAATGAAAAATATTATATTTGTTTTTTAAATAGTACTCATATTTTTTCATATTTATTTTTAATTATTTTATATTATCATCATAATAGGAGTTCGTATTGTTGTAATCTGAAGAAATTTTTTTTGTTGAAGGCTAGTGATTATTGCATAGAAAATCTGCGGTCAATTGTTTCCAACAGGAGATCCGCTGGTGCATCGTATATATTTTATTTCCGCTGGTTTACTTGGATATTACGTGGCATGCTGACATGTTTAAATTTTGCCACATAGATATGCCAAATGTCGAGTTTCTGTGCATCCGAGTCTTCTTTATTATATTAAAGGATTTTTTCTATTATTACATGGCTTGATGATGTGTTCCATTTTTTGCCAAATAGGCGTGCCAAATGTCGCATTCTCGTGCATCCGAGTCTCCTTTATTATAATAAAGGATAAAAGATAAAAGATAAAGGATTGTTAAGTTAAATGCTCCTTCTGTCTCGTATCTTTTTTCTCATTTAACTTTTTACGATCTACAATGCACCACTTTGGTCATTAATATCTTTGTTTTTAAATAATTATAGACTCAAAAAATATGATATTTCAAAACTACGTGTCAAAATGAATCTATTGATATTAAATTTATTTCGATCACAATTTAATATATTTTTATCATAATCTATGGTCAAAGTTAAAAAATGACCGTAAAAGTTTAAATGGGAAGAAAGATATGAGACGGAGGGAATATTATTTTTGTTAAGTTCTCCTTACAAATTGTTTTTTTAATAAAACTGTAACACCCCAACCCGCATAACCCAAACCCGTGAGACAGCGGACCGGTGTGCCACTGGATTGGGATTCGAATATACAACATTTTCAATACAATTTTAAACAAACGTTCTATCAATACATATAAAAATCCATCGGAGTAATTTAAAATAATGCGGAAGCCTTTTTAAAGTCAAACAACTTGGGATCTTGCCCGAAAACGTAATAAGCATTAAAATTAATTAAATAAAGCATAACTACAGATTAAAGAGACAGCCACGCCATCGTACATCTCCTCCTCAATGCCCTCTGGGATCGGCTTTAGGTTCATCTGTCTGATCACCTACGGACAGCAAAAAGGAAAACAACGCTATCCGCTCAGCATTGACGCTGAGTGGCACTCCATTGTAGCACAAGAATAAACATAATAATTCAATGATTAGATCGTGCATATGTTTATCCTTTTAATAAAAATCAATTCAACTTTACATTCGGTTCTTTAGACGGTTGACCAACAGTCAACTTATTTTCTTTCTTTTCAAAACGATTTAGGTGTTAAGGATTCCTCATTAACTCTTTGACCACCGGTCAAACCAATTTAGACTTTCACGAAAGTCAAACCACTTAACATTTAATGCCTATGACGGAGATAGCCTCANGGGATCTTGCCCGAAAACGTAATAAGCATTAAAGTTAATTAAATAAAGCATAACTACAGATTAAAGAGACAGCCACGCCATCGTACATCTCCTCCTCAATGCCCTCTGGGATCGGCTCTAGGTTCATCTGTCTGATCACCTACGGACAGCAAAAAGGAAAACAACGCTATCCGCTCAGCATTGACGCTGAGTGGCACTCCATTGTAGCACAAGAATAAACATAATAATTCAATGATTAGATCGTGCATATGTTTATCCTTTTAATAAAAATCAATTCAACTTTACATTCGGTTCTTTAGACGGTTGACCAACAGTCAACTTATTTTCTTTCTTTTCGAAACGATTTAGGTGTTAAGGATTCCTCATTAACTCTTTGGCCACCGGTCAAACCAATTTAGACTTTCACGAAAGTCAAACCACTTAACATTTAATGCCTATGACGGAGATAGCCTCAATGTGTAATGCCGAAGATAGCCTCAATTCGGTGGAGGTAGGATCCCTCGGGCGATAGCCTCAAACCCAAGATCACAGACCCTCGTGCGCACGTCTTAACCTCACTGACCAGGCCCTGCAGCCGCCCGATCAATGGCCAGTTTCTATGTTCGACATAATAAACCAATGGATCCTAATTACTGATTAGAATTAATTAATTAACTCAATTAATTCAATAAAGTCTTGGATTTAACCATTAGGTCAAACCTACGTCAACAGAATATCCAGTCAAAGTCCAAGTCAAACATGACCTAACCCAAGTCAAAGTCAAACCTGTTCAGTCAATTCACAATCCTCAACAATTCAATTCAGATAATCCATTTAATTCAATTAACCAATTTAGCCAAATCATAGCATAAACACATATAACGATCCAAACCATTAAATCTATTCTAAACGCTATTAACTTCATGGTACGGACCTGGATTACGCCGAAATCGAATCGATAGCTCGAACGGAAGACAAATCAACGAAATCAAACGAACGGGTCAAATTGAGTCAAAATACAAAATCGACCAATCAATCCGGCGTGGAGGTTAATCTGCCGGCGATATCAATCCGGGGCAGCGGCTGGATGCGGCGACGGTGACGGATGCCGGCGACAGTGGCGGAGCGGCAGCTGTTGGCGGTCTACCTTGTTCAAAATCGAGGGGATAGAGACAAACCGAAATAGGAAACTGAAGAAGAAGAAGAAGAAACTGACCTGAGCTAAGGGCGACGGTTGGAGGCGATTGGCGGCGCTCGACGGTGATGAGCGGCGGACTTCCGGCGAAGGCGAAACAGCGGCGATTGGCGGCGCTGCAGCTCGATGACGAGGACGACCGACGCTGGCAGTGGAGGCGACGAACGGCAGCACGACGAGGTGAACCGTCGTCGGCGGCGCTGATGCTGACGGCGGACCTCTGGCGAAGGAAGCAGTGGCGATTGGCTGCGGCGAGGAGGCTCTGGCTTGCGCGACGCCGGCGTGGTCGAACGGCAGGGGAGGATGGCCGGTGAAGAACGGCGTCTGGCGGCTGCAATCCGACGGCGATCGAAGATGAAGAAGAAGAAGGTGACGATGAAGTGCGCGGCTCTCAGATCCGAATGGAAGACGGGTAGGTTTAGGTTTATTTAATGATCCCAATCCTAAAAGGATTGGGCTTCGGACCCAAAATACCTGATTAGATGGTCATAACATGAGCTCCAAAACTCCGATTCGCGAGCCGTCTGAACCGACGCGATCACAAAAATATTTCCTACGAGATGACATAAAAGTTGGGCTTAGAATCCAAATTATAATTTTAACCCCTTTTTGGGCCAATTCGTAATCAATTGCTCTAACAATTTAATTAATTCTTTTGGGCCAAATTTCGGGGCATTACAAAAACGGCCCTTAAACTTAGTCCGCATTTTTAATTTGTTGTGATAGCAACATGTAAGGTGTGACATTATTGTTGAATTATACCAAAATGCAATTTATCTTGTACCATGCATTTTAATCGTGTTTATGTAACACCCTAATCCGTCCATGTCTACAGCCCCTTTCGGACTTTTTTGGTCCCAATCGGGGTATACTTTTTTGTCCAACTTTCTCCGAATTAAATTCTGATTATACCATTGTGACTAGTTAGTCAAACTCTACACAATAATATAATTTTTATTATTTATTAACAAACTTTATTAATCACTTATTTTTTGATCCTTCTCAGTAATTAATTAATTAATTTTCAATCAATTAATTCCGATAGGCCTATTTTTGGGGCGTTACAAATATGATCATTCCAATTGTTAATCAAATATGATATAGTAAACCCAGGTAATGTCCTGACCCTATGTCCAGACCTTGTTTATACTTTGTTAATAAATTTACTTTTGTTATGGCTTTCTTTAATTGCGTACTGAGAAGACTTTCATAAACATGTCCGAATCTTCGCCTAGTTAGAGAAATCAACTAACTCCCTTCGTCCACTCCCCAAGAGACACGACACTGAGACAGAAAACTACCCTTTACTATGAAAGTTTGCTACCTGAAAAACTACAATCCATCAAATGGCACCGTTGTTGGGGAGTGTCATGATATTAGTCTAATTCTAGTTAGCTTGGGTGAAGACCGGGTACCACGATCTTCTCACTTCTTTTTCACCCGCCACCCATAGTAATTATGAATTTTTTCAATGATTATTACGGACCGCCTTCTTACTACCAATCATCCAACCGTCCTCCGTATAAAACATCTCACCCACCTTATCACTTACATCAGAACCCATATGATGATGACTACTAAGTCAACAATGGGTCTGACTATTATGCCTACGACAAGGAAGCATCATATCTATCCCTACATATGAACCATGGATATTTTTCATATAACCGTAGGGATCGTCATAGACCTCATGGCGATCAAAATGACTATGACCAATCTAGGCCGATGTATGACTACCAGCCTGACCCGTATGCTGAAGAGCTCCAAAGAAATGAGCTTCTAATACTTAATGTGAATCGAGAGTTGATTGGTGGAGATCCAAATATTGATCTCCCTGATCACATAGATCAAACTCTATCGTTTGAATCACAAATTAAAAAGAACAATTATGTGTTTCGGACAAGATTGTGTATGCCTGGATCAGTCTAATATGAAAGATTGGAATTGGAGCATCGAGAGGTTGAGAATAGGCGTGAAGAGCTTAATGAAGAACTGATGGACGAGGGCTCGTCATATCAACTCCTTCCTCTCTCCAATTATGATGACCACTCCCTTGTTCATAAGCTTAAATGGAATAAGAGGACCATCAATTGGAGATTCAATCGAATTTTCCAACTCCGAGAACAAAGAGCCCAATGCTTGAGGGAAGTAGAGGACTTATATGAAAAATAAAATGAGGTAAGGGAACTCGACTGGTTATTTCCAATTATTAGCAATGCATTATTTTTTTGTCAATTCCCCTGCATATGATCGGTATGATGATATTTCTCCCGGATTTTGGAGAAGACACTTGGATCTTCATATCCTCATCTGATCAAACAAACTCAAGTTCTTGGAAGCAAAATAGAAATATAATCTCCAAGCCCAAAAAAGATGGGGCAATTAGGAATAATGAAGCCACATTAAGCACCTCAAGAAGTCAAGATAGATTCTGAACATGTTTTCGAAGATTCACCAAAACTGACACCATCACAAAAACCCAAGTGTAGAACGACTAAACAAATGCTCGCTATGGCTACTGTGGTGATGTTACCTGAATATCCTCCAAGATATGGCGTACTTGAGGTGGAACCAACTTAGGGACCTGACTTAGAGACACCCGCGCAATCCCCAACCAAAGAAGAAAAGGGAGGATTTGTCCCTGTGGCAATAGACTTCCCTCCCATTAACTGTGTTGAAGACACACCTCTAGAGAATTCTGTTCTAGAGGGAATAGAGCCAAAAAATTACCTTGAAGATTCCAATATAGACGAGCTGTGAAGAAGAATCAAATGGAATGATTTTATTAATCAAATCATCATCACTGCATCCACACATGACACATCATTTAATCCTCACTATCCTCCAGAGTTGGCTACATATTCACTAGTCTTGTTATCTTCGTGTAATAAGTAAAACAAGCCACGAGCTCAACTTCCACGTTAAATGAGAGGTTCTAACAATAGAAGTCATGCAATCGGGCTATCCCATCTATATGGTTGAACGACCAACTAAGAGTATGTAAGCACATACACTCTCATACAATCATTGGCTTGAGATCTTAAGAGTCTCACCACCGGAAAGAAACAAACACCAATCCGCGAATGTAACTCGCAAGACTGTCTCTCGCTCATCTAAAAATAAATGAAACAGTTTGATATGCAAAATCAATCTCAGAAACCCTTTAGGCTATGTGTTATCATGGGGCTTGATGGGGACTTGACCACCGCTACGTAGGCACCATGTGGCTTGGCCTTCCATCAAGCCCCCACTTCTAGGTACGTAAGCAGGGGCTTGACCAATTATATTTTTTGTTTTGTTTTATAGACAATATTTTTTGTAAACATATAAATTAGAATATTAATTTAAACATGATTCGAATGAAAAAAACAAGAAAAAATGCCACAACGGAAAAAAATAACAATGAAAAAATGCACGAGTAAAAAATACATTGAAATACAACGGGAAAAAAATAACAAGTAGTCTTCCATGTTCCATTTAGCTCGGATCTTTGCCTTCGCCTTCTCGGCGTCTTCTCTAGCTCGCCGGTCAAGTGATCCGTTGGAGCCCACAACATGCACACGTCGTCGTTGTATTGTTTTTCTTGTTGAAGAGAAACAAATGCTTCATGTACATTAATCTCTCGTCCAACTTCTTTTCCAACTTGCTATTATCCCCTGAGGACATTGGGCGTTCCTTGGTTGTTGCGACCGGGTGGGCAGCGAGGTTCGAGAGGCATGGAGCATTCCTCCTCATCTTCATTAAAGTCGTTCAAAATATTTCGACTCTAGATGAGGAATGGCCCGAACCCACATCAGTTGACGAATCTGTCTTTGACCGTTTTGAGACTTGAAGTCTCGGGACGGTAAGCCACTTCCTGGATTCACGCATGACTTCCCTTTATACTCGTGAACGCGCCACACTAACAAGCCTATAAGTTCAAAGCCTCGGCCATAACATGTGTGCCGTTTTGGCCACTCCTCCGCGACCTATACACCTCATTCCAAATACCGCAGAATTTGGAAACTTTCAATTGCATCTTTTTATTTTAATTAAAAAAATTGAAATTTTTTATGTAATAAGATCCACAAAAATAATATGGAGTATTTGACAAAACACAGTCACACATTTGAATAAAAAAAGGGCCGACCAAATCCAATCGACCAAAGAAAGGTACTCTCCCCTGCTGCGCGATCGACCGACGAACCCTTCTCCTTCGCTGCTTCAGATCTGTTGCGTTTCCTTCTCCCCTGATTCAGATCGCTGACAGTCTGACGGTGGCGGTAACCCTTCTCCTTCGCTATCAGATATAATGGATGCGAGGAGAACAGCCGAACTATAAAGTTCTATAGGTTTGTAATTGGGTTACTTTTTTGACCAAACTAGAATAATTCTAAATAAGAATGAAAAAAACAAGTCTTTTTGAGCCAAATGAAGATTAAATAGCTGATTTTTCCATGTAAAATGGTCCTTCGCAAAATTGCATGATATTGGGGATTGGTGTTTGCAGCTTTGCACTATGGTTATAAACTATAACAATTGAAGTGTGTACTTTCATGTCTCTTTTTTAAGCTCCGCTTTGAGTTTCAAAGGAATGTAGTGCTATGCAATTTTAGTGCATTTTCAATTGTACACTGAGTCACTAACTGGCATTGTTGTATTTCTCTTGTGTAGTAGTGAGACATTCATTGGATTTAAGAATGGAGACAAAGCGTCAGGTGTTCTCTGTAGACCTTCTAGAACGATATGCTACAAAGGGGCGCGGAGTGATTACCTGTATGGCTGCTGGAAATGATGTCATTGTTTTGGGTACTAGCAAAGGATGGGTGATTAGACACGATTTCGGAGTTGGTGATTCTGATGGTATTACTGGTCTTATGTGTTTAACTGCATATATTGTCTGATTATCCATCGTTGTATAACGGCAAAATATGTAATTATGCACTATTTAGTACAAAGTAATAAGTAGAGCTAAATAAATTTAACGGGAATTGCAGATAACCACAGGCTCACCTCACTTACTGGAATATGCCATTCTCTTTCTCTTCTCACCTAGTCCTTTTAATCTCTTCTCACTCCTAGCATGTCAAATGGTTATCTTAGATAGCTTTTCTTTTGGATTATAATGGATGGATTAAAAACAATCCAAAAATGTATTTATGATCTATTAAAACTACATTTGGCATTGGGAACCATTCTCATGCTATGACATTTGACACCTAAGGTGCCCGGTCCGTAAAGTTGGTGGTTCCTGCCCCTAACTCCCATGCGCAACACTGTAGCACCTTGGCGATTTTGGGGGGGGGGAGGGGTAGGAACCCTCAATTTTAGGAATCGGGCACCATATGTTCTTGATGTCATATCATGACATGGGGTTCCAATGTCAAGAGAACCCCACCGATCAATCCATCCATGATCCATTTAATAAAATCCCTCCTATCCACCTACTCAGAAAATATCATTGATGGATTTCGAGTCCAACAATTTTCTGATTTCTAATTGCTTTTCATTTGTACATTTGATTGAACAATGCATACAAATGATATATATATATATATACATATACATATATATATATATATATGTATATGTATATTATGTATAATCTACCATGAAATACATCATTTATGATTGTGGAAAGTTCAAGGAATCTAATGGATTTAAAAGAGTTTTTTATGACAACAACCCAGTTGAATCGCACAAAAGTAGGGTTTGGGGGAGGTTGTGTATGCAGACCACCCTACTCGAAAGTAGAGTTTGTTTCCAAAAAGACCCCGACTCAAGCACCACATGTAATCACGTATGCAGCCTGACCCCTATGTTTAAAACATAGAACTGCTGGTTCTGGATGACCCATTATGAGCGCCAAAACTTGAAAGTTGCGTTGACCAACTACTACTTCACTATTAATATAAGTGCACACAATTTAAAGAGACATTTTACTTTATTCATCATACCCTAAAGCCAAAAAATAGTGAATCTTTGGCTCAATCGGAGATGATGGAAAATTCATGGCAAGGGCTATTAGTCAGATAAGTAAAACAATAGCTACTTATTTTCAATATGAGCAGAATAAGGAGAACAAGCCACAACTACCAAAAGGTCTTGGGTGTTGGAACATTTCTTTTTATGGGTGGAGGGGGTGGAGGGAGGGAGTACAATTTAAAACATAACAATGTTGAAACTACATGGCAATTCATTCATAGAGGTAGTCATCTTATGGAGACATACCTCACAGTGGCCATCCACAAAAGCATGAGACCGACTTGGTAAGCCAGTGACTATAGATTCCGCATATGCACTGTACCAATCTGTGATGGTGTGGAAGAGGTTTGCATACTCAAAGTGTGTCACCAGAAGTGTTGGCTCCTTAGTTTTTTGATGAGAATGAAAAAAATAAGAGATAAATAATGTATTAGATCCAAACTATTATACTCTGTAGAATTTTTTAGTGGATGAATGTGATGATTTTACCTTTGGATGGACTACATGGATGATAGACAAATGAGTCCCTTTGCTCCCCACTCCATCCAATAAAAATCCCTTGCCAAATAAGTTTAGATTGATGTAGGTGTTTAAGAAATTTGCAACTCTTATTTATGACCTTTTAGTCTTAGAAAATTTAAAAAAATTGAGTAATTGAAAGGTTACTTTTCTGACCTAAATTAAAATGTGAATGTAGTTAATAATATTATTAGTAGTACGGAGTATATTTTAGTTTTACAATTTTTTTAATAAATATTGGACATAACACACATATCTCCCCTCATAGCCATATTCTTATATTCTCCAAACATATCTATTTTAGTTTTCTCTTAAAGCATTGTTGATATGTTTTTTATATGAATTTATAGTGAGTTGAAGTTATTCAATTAATTGACACTATAATTTTAAAACCACCAACCCCATTGGGATCAATGCTCTAATTATGATGAATTTTGATTTATTTTCAGTCTTCTGTAAAAAGTAGAAAATGCATATAATATGTTGAAAAAGCATTAAACATAATTAGTCATTAGTGTTATTAATTTTATGATTTTTATTTATTCTTGGCATCCTTAGAGGAGTATATTTTAACAGTTTCTGCATTGCTTTTCTACGTTTTTATTGGGGCTTATGCTTCGTCCCATAATCAGGAAGGAGAGCTGGTGCTTATTCGGGGTGTGTGTGGGGGGTGGGTGGGGTGGGGTTAAAATGTTTGAGTTTAATGAAGTACATATGCTGATTGTACATGTGATAGGTTCCAGGCTGGTTGGTTAAGTCATATTATATGTAAGTCATTTGCACTATTTAATTATGTGTCGAGTCTTTTTTTACTTTTCATATTTATCATTTAATAGTTATATAATTCCACTTAGTGGGAAGTTAGGGGTCAGTTATTCCCACTTAGTTAGTCAGTTAGTGGGAGGTTTAGGGTAAGTCATTCGCACTTTGTTAGTGGGTGGTTATGAGTAAGTTATTACTAGTAGAAGTAAGAGTCTCTTTGTATAAATAGACATCTAGTCATGTGTATTGATTATGGAAGATTTCA